CCTCTGATGGCAACAGCACCAGATTCCACCTGAGAACCTAAGTGGTTACAACTGTTCTGTCCTTGCAGGTCAGCAGCTAGTAAGTACACGTGCACAAAAAACACCTCACAGGCTTTGTTCCAACAGTGTCCTCCCACAGCATGAAGGGGGGTGTTGTCAGCCATGCAAGGCTTTGCTTTTGCCTGGAACCTACAGGGTTACCTTAGAGGAGAGAGGGATTTTGAAAACTCAGAGAGGAGAAAAAAAAAAAAGAGACAATATTGGAAGGCCTGTGACTGCAGGAAAAATGAACCAAAAGCTTCTTGCTACAAATTACAGAGCTCTCAGCCTGCCTGAGGCAAGGCCAGCCAGTGTTTTGGGACACACTCATTCAAGGCCTAAGCTGCTTCCCCAATTTGTTTCTGTTGGCTGCTAGAAATTACATCCTGAAGCATCTGAGCCTCCAATCTGCAGAGGTGTATTCCTCCCACTAGTGGAAATCCAATAACACCACTCCAAGAGTGACTCCACAAGATTAGCTGCAGCCACGAGCCTCTGAAATTCTTGCTACAAAGGGATTATTGCATTTTATTGGAGAAAAATAATATCATTTTCAAAGGGAAACAGCAACTGAGATAAACTTATAATGGAGAGCATCTGGCATGTGGCCAGCCCAGCCCCACCCCTTGAAAGTCATTTATATGAATCAGAGAATGTTTGGGTTGGGACCTCCAAAGGTCATCTAGTCCACCCCCTCTGCCATAACCAGAGACATCTCCAATTAAATCAAGCCTCATCAAACCTCACCTTGAATGTCTCCAAGGATGGGGCCTCCACCACCTCTCTGGACAATCTATTCCATTGATCCATCACCCTTATCTTGAAGAACTTTTACCTAACATCTAACCTAAATCTGCCCTTTTCTAGCTTAAAGCCATCACCCCTCATCCTGTCCCTCCAAACCCTTGTGAACAGTCCCTCCCCTGCTTTCTTGTAGGCCACAAAGTAATGAAGCAATGACAAAGTTCAAGAAAAGTCTTTGGAGACTTTAAAATCTCCCTTGAATCGAACTGCACAAATCTTCCAACCCCAAAACCACCTTCCAACCCCAAAAACTACGAACTGCACAAATCTCACCTTCCAACCCCAAAACCACCTTCCAACCCCAAAACCACCTTCCAACCCCAAAACCACCTTCCAACCCCAAAACCACCTTCCAACCCCAAAACCACCTTCCAACCCCAAAACCACCTTCCAACCCCAAAACCACCTTCCAACCCCAAAACCACCTTCCAACCCCAAAACCACCTTCCAACCCCAAAACCACCTTCCAACCCCAAAACCACCTTCCAACCCCAAAACCACCTTCCAACCCCAAAACCACCTTCCAACCCCAAAACCACCTTCCAACCCCAAAACCACCCGACTCCCAAAGCTTTGCAGATGGAGTGGAACGAACCCTTCCAAGCGAGCCTGGAGCCCAAAGGCGTGGCCAGAAAGGGTCTTTTTTGAGAGGGTGGTCCCAGGTTGGGCTTTACCTTAATGACCTTTGTCTCAATCTCCCCATCAGAGGCCAGCTCCTGGTGGGTCAGCATGTACTTGTCACACTTGGCCAAGGCCTTCTCGCTGGCGGCCGCCACGGTGATGGCGTGAGGGACGTGGGGCTGCAGCACGGTGTCGGTGGGCAGGTTGGAAGGGGGTTTGTGATCCACCCACCTCTCCCCGGCCGAGCGGGACCTTCTGTGTCTGAGGCGAACTGGGGGCACGTTCTGAGCAAGAGGGGGAGAGAAGCAGCAGGAGGTGGGGAGAGGCCTCCAAGGTCATCAAGTCCAACCCTCAAGCCAACGCTACTCAGTCCTCTGCTAAAACAGATCAGAATCTGTCAGGGTTGGAAGGGACCACAAGGATCCCCCAGTTCCAACCCCTCTGCCATGAGCAGGGACACCTCCCACGAGATCAGGCTGCCCAGAGCCTCATCCAGCCTGGCCTCAAAGACCCCCAGGGATGGGGCCTCAACCCCCTCCCTGGGCAACCCATTCCAGGGTCTCACCACTCTCATGGTGAAGAACTTCTTCCTCACATCCAGCCTGAATCTGCCCACTGCCAGCTTTGCCCCATTCCTCCCAGTCCTGTCACTACCTGATAGCCTAAAAAGTCCCTCCCCAGCTTTCTTGTAGTCCCCCTTAAGATACTAGAAGGCCACAATAAGGTCACCTCTGAGCCTTCTCCTCTCCAGACTGAACAGCCCCAATTCTCCCCCAAATCAGCTCAGAGGGAACTCTGAGGGTCTGGTTAAGATGTGTTTGTATGAGAAATCAAAGCTTCATTCCTCAAGTGCTCTCAGAGTTACCAAGTCTCACAGAAAATGATGAATGGAATGTTTCTGTGCCAATTCTTCTAAGTTTTTAGCCAGGTCTCATCCAATCTGTTGCATTCCATGTCTACTGAAGTTTCCTCAGGGAGGATATTTCTGTTTGGTAACTCTCCTCCCACATTTCCAAGTCAAAAGAGATTGCTAGGGACATACTAACCCACCAGAAATGAGGAAATTGAGGTTTCCATGGATGCATTTGTGAATCAAAATGTATCCTTGAGGTAGCCAAGCAAGCAGACTGAGTGTGGACTCCCAACACCTCCAAAGGATGCAAGACCTGGTCATACTTGGGAGTCAACAGAGCAGAGGGGGCATCCCCTGTACTGGTGCTACTGCTGCAGGATTCAGCTGTTGGAAATCCATCAGAAATGATGGAAATTCAGGTATTTTTTTATTTTGTGAATGTGAAAATTATCATCAGGTGCTCAGGAAAATCAGAATGGGTTTAAAAACCTTCAAGATCTTTGACTGGACTTTTGAAAGAGCATTTTTAGACTCTCTCTGTTCCCTTTACACACCCATTTTAGAGACCTCTGGATCGTGGTGAGGTTACAGCCTCATCCAGCAGCAGTTGGGATTTCTTTGGACATGGGATTGGCTGTCCCCTTCACAGATAAACCTCTTACAAGCCTAAAGCACCTCTTAAAAATTAAATTTATATTGGGAATTGAGGCTTTCAGCAAAAATCTTCCCTTAAAATAAATTAAAAACTAAAGAATCTCATTACTACTTTATTTTTCTGCTTATTCCCCTTGGTGGTTTTTTGAAACAATTCTTCCCAGGCACCTCTGAAGTCAAGTTCTCAGGACAGGGCACATTTCACTGTGGCAGAGACCACAACCCTGCTGGCAGTGGTTCTCCCCTTAGTTAATTGGAATAACATTTGCTTAAAAAGCACATCCCTGACTTCAAAGAGCCAGCAAATGCTGGAAATTTTGAAGAACACTCTTCAAAATTGAATCACACCATGATAAACTTTCCTCCTCTCAAGAGGTTGGGGTTGTGCAGTTCCCTTTGATTTCCCTGAGCCACTGTGACAGTGCTGGAACACAAACATCTGCACACAGCAGGTTATTGAATCAAAAGCCTCCCACCTGTAAGCAAAGCCCCTAGGAGATGTGAAAAATTAGAGAAGACTATTCTAAGAGTTCAATTGAAGCACCACACAAGTGAGATGTTTGCCCAAGCACTGTTTCCAGTAGGCATTTGCAGATGCAGGTCATAAAACCACCTTTTAAGCTGCCCAAACAATGATAAATTGAAGGCTGCAAGAGAGATCTGAGGAGACAGACACAAGTTAAAACACAAAGACATTTGTAGCTAGAGAAAACATGCAGTTAGTTCAGACCTCTTACAGGGGCTGCCTACGTGCCAGCAGGGACTAATCTCTGCTTTTAAAGAGCTTCTAAACATCAAAGTTAAGGTGTCAAAGAGTAGTGAGACTGGTTGGAAACAGCACTGCTCTATGCAAAACACATTGAGGGGAGATCTCCCATCTATGTTAGGGGTGCTCAGGGTATGAGGGTGGTTGTAATGAGCTTTGGAGACTAAGCAACACCACATTTAGCTTTTGAGAGGAGCAGCACTAACCCTGCAGCATTGATCCTCTTCCATTTCTAGCTCATCTCTACTCCTGGGAACCTCAATGACTCCAGTCCAGCACATCCCTCTCCTTCTCTCTGAGGTGTTATAGTCTCTAGTTTGTCCTGGTTCCTGTCTTCTACTCCTGGCATGAGGTGTGCCACTGCTCTGCAGGTGTGGAGGGATTTTCTGCTCCCATTCCATGACACAGGAGGCCACAGAAATGCTGCTACAAGAATTAGAACGTCTGTGGAGCTGCGGGTGGCTCGGGAGCCTCTGGCTGTTAGGGACCTGAGCAGTGTTACTAGAAAGCTAGAGAGAAGAGGAAAGAATTTAGTGAACACACAGAAACATCACTTACAAGGCAATAAAACAACAAATGGAGGCCATGTGCAGAGTGCCAATTCAAGCACGTGGTTTTAGAAGGCAGGAAGGTGAGTGAGAGCACTGATAAATACAACAGGAGACAGAATTCAAAGCAGGTTTAGGGTTATCCAAACCCTGTGCTTGGGAACTGTTCTCTAGCCATCAAAAAGAACTGGCCTGTGTTTATAGCTCATTCTGATAGGGGCTTTTTCCCCCCCTCTATCCAGGAGTGTTTTGAAAGCAGCTTACAGGAGCTGGTGAGGGAGACACTGATCTCTGAAGAGGTTTCTCTCTGTCTCTCTCCCGGGAAGGCCTCTCTGGCTTCTCATTTTTGGGTTCAGTAACAATGGCTTTCAGTTGCTTCAGTTTTTCATCTTTCACCCAAAGTTTGTTCTGCATCTCCAGCTGCTTTGCTGCCACACGACAAAGAAAAGGGAGGAAAAACATGAAGCCCTCTAGACAAAACACAAACAATTGGGCTGAAAAGGTTGAAGGGAATCCTGTATTCCACAGGGAATGAAATTCTTCCCCACGGAGGTACAACCTGTTAGAAATAATCATTGACCAAGTTAAAGACTTTCCAAATTATTAAACAGTGCCATGTTTAAAGCCATAATTATTTTGGTTCCCACATTATGACAAATAGGAGCATGTCTAACTACAGGTTCTATCAATGGCCCTGCAGGAGTAAGTAGACTTTGGAGCAGGGGCTGTTGGGACAGGATAAGGAGGGGTGGTTTGGAACTAAAAGAGATTGAGGCTACAGAGAAGGGAGAAATGTTGGATGCTGAGAGTGGTGAGCCCCTGTCCCAGGCTGCCCAGAGAGGTGGTCGCTGCCCCATCCCTGGAACCATCCCAGGTGAGGTTGGACCAAGCTCTGAGCACCCTGCTCTAGCTGCAGATGTCCCTGCTCCCTGCAGGGGGTTGGTTGACCTTTAACAGTCCTTTCCCACTCCAACCAGTCTGTGATTCTACAGTTCATTCTATGATTCTGAATTCTAGATCCTGAACTGAAGTGACACAATGATGAAGAGCTGCTTTAGCTGCATCAGAAGTCCTTGAGGAATTCCTCAAGGCATCTCCACTCTTCAAACCACTGTTACAGATAACATCCTCCCCAGGAGAAGCTGCCCAGCTCCCCCAGCACATGTTTCTAACACTTACACACTCCTTCTCCCACTTCATGGTTGTTTCTGCCACCATGCCCTGCAATCTGGCCTCCAGTCTACGTTTGTCAGAAGCCTGACGTTGCAGTTTCTGGCTCTTGCTTTCCAACTCTTGCTGAAGGTTACGTTTGTCCTCTTCATAAATTGTTGCTGTTTTCTCCAAAATATCAATCTGAAGGAAAAGAGGAAGAATTTGGTTATGCTGCTTAAAAGTGCAACTATCCAAGCCCAGAATTGCTACCTATGTTTGGTTGTCAACGTAGACCAGAACATAAGAGCTGTTGCACAAATATAACCAGAGAAATAGTCCACAGTTTAAAAAGTTTGAGATTTTACCACTTTCTTCTCAGCTGCTGAATTTAACAGATCAAGAAAAGCCTCATAAGAAAGCCAAAAAGCTTCAGTAAAGCTCCCCACAAAAGACTTTTCATCTCATTTCTAATATCCACCTTGCAAGCAAGAGCTGATGTCCAGAAGCCAACCAAACAACAGGCAGAAAATGCATTTTGTGCTTTGCTTTAGGCACTGAAAACACTGACCTTGTATTCCAAAGTTTTAATTTTCTTCTCCAGGCGTTCTAGCTCTGTCTTCTGGCCTGCTATGGTTTTCTCTTTTTCAGACAGCTTCACTTGAATGTAGTTTTCCTTGGATAAAACACTGGAGTCGAATTCCTGCAGCATTGTTTTGAAGGCCAGCACTGCAAAAGAATCAATATATTTCATCTTCTCACCCTATCTCCAGAATATCAAAAGCAATTCTAGTTTTCTCCTCCCAATTTCATGCCCCCAGCTATTTAATTAACTCAGAAAAGGTTTTTATATTATTATCTAGACAAGATCCTTAGCTTGTTGGTACAGAAGTGATCCCTTTAGTAGCAACAAAGGCACCAAAATTCTCCCTCCAGACTGGTGTTCCAATTCTTACCATTTTTGGCAAACTCCTCTGACAACATCTGTCGTAGTTTCTGGCGTTTTTCCAGGACCTCAATAAGCTTTGGAAGTGTTTGATCATCATGAACATCCAAGAGCTCACACGAAGGCAACGGAGGAAAGTTCTGCAGAAACATTTCTGAAACAGATTGCTCTTCTGTTTCTGTAGGATTTAAAGCCAAGAAAGTCTTGTCAGCAAGTCCAGAACAGGAAAATTCCTTCTGACAAGGCACAGCCCCAGATCAGTCCTTCCACAGCACCACAGAGCAGACAGAACTTAGAATAATTAATGAGAACTAGAAGTTTTCAGATGAGATGAGTGCTGAGAAAAAGATGAAATATGATATTCTTGATTCATTGCTTTCAAATACCTCCAGGCAACTCTTGATGGCTAAAGTAGGCCCCAAGCATACAAAAAAAAAAAACATCAAAGTCTCACCCTCAGCACAATTTCCTTTCAGGAGCTGCAATAATGGGACCATGAATTCAACTCATCACCAATAACAAAGATTTACTTCAAGATTGATGTGGAATTGGGTTTATACTACAAGGAGCAGTACAGCATGAAAAAAGCAGCACCTGTTGCAGAGATGGCTCCCAACAAACAGTTAAGGGACCTCCCTTCCATTAGGAAACTCATGAAGTTCAACAAGGGCAAATGTAGGGTGCTGCATGTGGGGAGGAGTAACCTCATGGAACACGACAGGTGAGGGGTTGACCTGCTGGGAAGCAGCTCCACAGAGAAGGATCTGGGATTCTTGGGGTACAGGTTCACCATGAGCCAGAAATGGGCCCCTGTGGCCAAGAATATCAGTGGTCTCCTGGAGTGCATAAAGAAAAGTGGAGCCACACATCAAGGGAGGTTCTCCACACCTTCTACTCTGCTCTAGTGAAGTCAACTCTGGAGCACTGGGTCCAGTTCTGGGCTCCCCAGTTCAAGAGAGACAAGGAGCTACTGGAGAGAGTCCAGCCGAGGCTGCAAAGCTGCTGAGGGGCTGGAGCATCTCTGTGCCAGGCCAGGCTGAGAGCCCTGGGGCGGTGCAGCTGCAGAAGAGAAGCCTCAGAGGGGATCTCAGCAGTGCTGAGCAAGAGCTAAAGGGCCCCAGGGGGGCAAGGGGCTGGGGCCAGACTCTGGTCAGTGGTGCCAGTGACAGGACAAGGGGCAACGGGCACCAACTGGAACCCAGGAGGTTCCACCTGAGCAGGAGGAGAAACTTCTTTGGGGTGAGGGTGGCCGAGCCTGGAGCAGCTGCCCAGAGAGGCTGTGGAGTCTTCTGCTCTGGAGAGATCCCAAACCCCCCTGGCTGTGACCCTGGGCACCCTGCTGTGGGTGAGCTGCTGGAGCAGGGGGTTGGATGAGTTGATCTCCAGAGATCCCTTCCAGCCCCACCATGCTGGGATCCTGTGATTCCTTTTACACTTTCAAGGCTCATATAACATATTCCAAAATAGCTTTCAATCTCTAACAGCAAAACCTCTGCTGTAGTCCTCTCACATCCCAGCCTTTACCTCCGTTGATCGGGCCACCCCTCATCTCCAGCTTCCTGGAGAGCTCCTCTCTGAAGGCCTGGTTCCTGAAACGCCGCCCTGGTGTCAAGCCACAGAGTGGTCTGTCCACAGGTCTGGCAACTTCAACCTCCTGGGTCATCTCTGCAAAGCGCATGACTTGCTGCAAAAGAAGAGAAGCAAGCTGAACACTAAAGCTAACCAGAAGCAGCCCAAAATAAGCTTGAAAGTGATATCAAGTTCAATAAAAGTACTAGGGACGTTGTCAAGCTATAATGTCCAGTAGTTCCCAGCTAGATAGCTTGTGATCCTGAAATTGAGCACCCAGAAACCTTCCCAGGAACACCTCCCCAACCCCAGCCCTCAAGGAAGCAGGACTATGCAGACAGCTGAAGTTCTTGCAAGTACAGTCACAGTAGGGGTTAAGCACCAAAAATTATTATTCCTCTCATCTACTAAACAAGAATTCAGAGAAACAGGAAGAAGAATAGGAGGGAATGAGGCAAGATCTGCCAGGAAGTTACCAAGCTCTCCTCGTAGTCCTCAGCCTTAGGATTGACGCAGACAATCATACGCACTTTTCCTTCCCCATCAAAATAGTTCTTGAAGAGATGAGTCAGTTTGGAATCTCTGTATGGAACCATCTTAAAATAAAGCACAGGAAAGGTCTGGTAAGGTTCTCTTCTACCAGATCTCATCAAATCCAAGGGTAATTAGATGATGGGCTGCATACCTTATTTGTGCCGTACATCTGGTTTTCCCGGAGAACTTCAATACATGTTCTTAATGTCATTAGTGACTGGTTAATATTACCTTAAAAAACAAAAAAAAACCCAAGGCAAAATACTTTGTAAGGAGCCATTCAGATCACGTTCCCAAATTATTTAGCAGTTTACTTAAGAATAAGTTGTCTCAAGCTGGATTTGTTACAGACAACTGCTCCAATTAACTGACGAATCAGAATAAGTGCCACTAAAAACTTCTGGTTTCCAAACTGGAGGATTTAAAGTCATCCAATCCCACGACTGAACATCACAACAGCACCCTTCACAACTCTTCCTGGGGTGTCTTCAGTAGGAAGAGGCTGGAGGGAGCATTTATCAGCACCCAAGGTCCCCAGGCTGTTTGGGGGTGGGACCTACCTGCTTCTCGCAGCCGGTTCCCTTCAGCTTTAGTTCTGTTGGTTCTTTCACTTCCAGCCAGATCAACTAAGGACAGCTGGCTCAAAGTGATCTGTTCCTTCTCCTGGTACAGAACACAAATGATGTTAGCCTTGTGATTAGCTCTGTATTCCTCTTAATGGGATGGGGGGGGGGGGAACATCCCACCCCCCCAAACCAGCGTGCACGCTTAAACACAACGCACTGAGCCTTTAAATGAAGCCTGAGGGTGGTTTTACAGCCCTTGATCCAAGAAGCTGTTCACAAATAGCTGGTTTTGGGAAGAAATTCAGCAGATCCCTTCTGTCTTGGGCCACAGATGTCAAAAGACATGTCACAGATGTGATCCAAGACCAGAGGCCACAACTGCACCCAGTCAGCTCCTCCAAGGTTTAGATTCTGACTGGTTTTACTCAAAAGCAGAGGTAAAAACCAGAGGAACAAGCAGCTCTGCGCTCCACTTTCATTACACACAGGAGACTCATGTTGCCCAGGACTCCAAATTTCATCATTTTGATTCCTTACAACCCCAAATGGCCCCACACAGTTCTCCTTTAGCCCCAGAATTCACCTGCAGCACGTTGTCTCCATCTGCATCCAGAGGGGCCTGAGCCAGCTTGATGATAAACACACTGTGAGAGCGACTGGACTCTCTGTTCAGCTGAGTGTTTGCAATCCTCCTCTTCTTCTGGCCTGTTGAGAAGAAAAACAAGCCCTCCAAACCCCTGTTTTCTTTAACAGGCTTGCCCCCTGGCCAAGCCAACGTTGTTCCTGGGGCTTGGACCTCTGTATTGAACTGAACAAGTTCTAGGCTGAGAGATTTTACCTCTCCAAAACACTTCAAAAGCTTCTTCTGTGGACTTCACCTCGACTTCCGTGCAGCCTGTGACATACATGTTGTGGTTCTGGTCCTCACGAAGCATTTTGGATTGTGGAGGTCTTAAGGACAGGGAGGAAATAAACAGTAAAAAAAAAATCCACAAGCCAGTAAAATTGAGCAAAAAAAAGTTTTCCCCATGACACGTTGTCATACAAATTTCCCTTTTGTTTAGGTATGAAATTCAGATGGAACATGTCAATTATCCCACAGAGCAGATAGAAGAAGGATGTGGACACACACTCAGCCAAGATTAGTTACACTTCAGCTACTGCTTTAATTTAGAAGCTACATTTAATTGTGTCAATTATCCCACAGAGCAGATGGAAGAAGGATGTGGACACACACTTGGCCAAGATTAGTTACACTTCAGCTAGTGCTTTAATTTAGAAGCTACATTTAATTGCAGTTCTGAGTGGAAATCGTGGGTTTGGGTGCAGCTATTGTGGTTTTTTTCTACAAGCATACAGGAGCAGGATGGCTTCAGCAGGGCTCTACAGTTGCTAGGAAAGCAAGAGGAGAGAGGGAGCCAGCCTAGAGTTTATTTGCTGCTTCTACTAAGAGAAAATGTCACTTCTCACTACTGGGATTAATAGGCTTGTAATTAATAGGCTTGTGCACATACATAAAGTCACCATTTCGCACAGGAGTGTTGCAACTGTTCCACCTACCAAAAAAACAGGGTTAAAAAGAGCATTAAGTCATTCAGCTCGTGCCTAAAATCTTCTCATTTATCATTCACTGCAGCTTCTAGAAAGAGAAATCATCCAAGATCTTTCATAGGCTGATTTTTTGGGTATCAACACAAGACCAAAACATTTTATCCTTCTTTCAAAAGCATTGACAGACATTGAAACCCTTTTTTTAAATCAGCACCCTGAAGGCAGCTCTTGATGTTTCAGAGAAAAAGCCCATTTTGCTCTCCTTAGCCTTTGGAAATTGGCCAGCTCTTTAATTCATCAGCCATGGAGGTTTTTTTTTTGAGTGGGATTAGGATTTTTAAGAAAAATGTATTCCAAGTTGAATTTGCAGGTGGGTTTATGACAGCCTCAAGATTTGCTTGGTTTAGACATCAGCCAAGAACACACCTTTCCACAAAAAAACCACAGAATTTCCTTTCTGAGAGAATTTATTCCTGGTTTTATGGAAATTTCTGACACCAAGTGAATTAATAAGCAAACTTGCAAAGCAGTAAAATAGTCACTTTTGCCCAATATGGTGTATTCAGGGTAAAAAAAAGTCAGTTTATTCTTCAAGCTGCTAGGAACAGCACCCACAAAGAGCATGAACTGAGCATCTCAACGTGCTGCTTCATTTAAATATTTGCCTATCCATCTCCCATTGTAACGAGGGAGGGAGCACCAACTGCAGGACCACCAGCACTGGGAACACTTCAATAATAGTCTGGATTCCTTTACCATCCCCTTTTTCATAGGATTTTTTAAGAGATTCCCATGAATTGAGTCATTCTCACCAAGATTACAGCCACAAAGAGTGTAGCTCCCATCAAAGTGTAACTGAAACAGGAATTAGTAAAACTCACTTGGGTTTTATAGGCTCAAAGGGAGTTTCCTCCAAGAGGTCATAGATGTAGTTGTTGTAGATCTCAATATAGGAGACAAAGACACTGTAGACATTGTCCTCATCCACTTCTTCCACTTTGCAGTGATCTTGCACGTTGATCATATCAGCAAATTCTGGATCTATTTGTCTCCTGTTGAAGAAACACAATAAATGACTGTAATGGAGCAGCCCCAGCCAGAGAAGGTGTCAGATGGTGGCTACACAGCTAAAAAGTGACTCTCCTGGCAGGATTTGGGTACAGAAGTCCTCACTCTACCAACTCATCCAGCTGCATTACAGTAAAAAAGGCATTCTGAAAAGTTCAAGATCAACTTCCACCTGATACTGCTGCACTCAGCTGCAGTAAAAAAGGCCTCAAAAAAAAAACCTCCCTGGATAGGCAACATTTCTCCAGTCCCACTGTTTTCCAAATCCCACTGTTTTAAAAACATCCCCAGGTTTCAATTCCCAGCAAAACTGCGGAGGGAAGTCACAGCATTTTACTTATGGGTTAAGAGGTACAAAAAAAAAAAACCCAAACAGATTTGTGTAGCCTGGTTGGAAGTTTTCTCATCTAAATACTTAATTATGAATTTGCTGAAATGATGAGAAGACCTCTAAAGATCCTTTCCAACCCAATGCTTCTAAATAAACCCAAACAGATTTCTGTAGCCTGGTTGGAAGTTTTTTAATCTAAATACTTAATTATGAACTTGCTGAAAGGATGAGAAGACCTCTAAAGGTCCTTTCCAACCCAATGCTTCTAAATAAACTTTCCATTAATATTTTTCTTTCCTACAAGGGAAGGAAAGAGCCCAAGGTGAAGTTAAAAACTGATATTTCAGCACAACATTTACACTAACCCAATTCATTCTGCAGGTTTCATGGTCACTTACCTGCTGGATGGGGTTTTGGGAGCAGGCATGGCCTCTCTTTTCTGTCTCTCTAACAGAGCATCTACTTCACACTGAACATCCACACCATTCTTCTCATCCAGCTTAAACACCTGAGCAGGGAGAATTTTTTTTAGACAAAATCCAGGACAAACTCAAAACAAAGCATTGGCCAGCAAAATATCTTCTTTCATCAAGCTGTTTAGCAACCCACAGACACCACACACCCCTCCCAACACTTGGTGTGCTGGGTAATGTGAAGTAGAGCAGCCAGAAAGCTGTTTCCAAGGCAAAAAGGTTTCAGAAAAGCTCCCAATTTAATACTGGAAGTCTTTTCCTTGGTAGAGTGTTGGGTTTTTTTTGGTTGGTTTTCTTATCAGTCACATTACTGGACAGGATAAACACTTGCAGAACATTTTTATCTAGGATTTTTCAACTCTGAAGAATTTAGTGCAGAATTACTCACAAATCTTTTGGCCTGGAATGGTCCTATGCTGTTGAAGATCATATCCAGACACCGTGGGAGGAGTCCCCCATCTCCAGGAGAGCCTGTCATGGTGTGGGTCTTCCCACTGCCTGTCACACCATATGTGAAAAGGAGACCTAGGAGGGACAGGGGAGTTTTGATGCTCCTGCATCAAAAAACCAGCTTGGTTATAAAGATACTTTGTCATTCCTGGGTCAAATGTGTTTGGGAACAGCAATGAGTGCAATGAATAGTCAACAGGTCCCTGGCTCTGCTGTGCTGAGGACTCCAGAGCTGCCCCAGCACTGCAGGGGGGTCTCCCCAGAGCTGGCAGAGGGGCAGGATCCCCTTCCCTGCCTTCTCCCCAGCCCCTCACCCCCAGCCTGGGCTGATAACAAGGTTTGCCCCTTCCCATGTGCAGGACCTTGCACTTTGGCCTTGTTTAACCTCATTTTAACCTTCATTGGGAAGCCAAATGGGCAGAGAGCCACCAAATCCCAGGCATGGAGGGGCTGATTTGTCAGGGCTGTTACTTCAAGGACTTCAAGGAGCACCATGTCAAACCATGCCCAGGAGATCAAGCCCCACCAGCTGTTTTCTGGAGTCAGTGTTTAGATGGAGAAGCTAAATCCTTCTGCAGAAAAAAAAACCTCCTCCAGTTCTTGGTGCATGAAAAGATGAGACCCATGATACAAGTAGCAAGCACATCATGAGAGGGAAATAGGTTTAGAAGTAATGAAAGGCAAGAAGAGCTTCCAAGGTGTTGTAGAGTGGGGTTCTTCTCACTGCAGACAAGATAAATGGTTCTCCCAGACAAGCTCAGACACCATGAGGCAGAGGAAGGCACAGCAAGGTGAGGAACCCCACACTGGGCACCCAGGACAGAGGGAGAGGAGGAGGACTCACCATTCTTCCCACGAATCAGATCTTCCACCAGAGGTTTAGCCACCACATCAAACAGCTGCTTCTGGACAACAAGGGTGCCAAAAACTTCTTTGAAGGAATACTGTGTCTGAGGGGGAAAAAAAAACACCATCCTGAAACTCCACTTCCCCTCTCCAGGAATCTGTTGCTGCAAATTGCTTCATTATTTTTCCCTCCCTTAGAATCATTTTCCATCAGTTTACCAGAAGGGCAAAGATTCTACTTGAGGATCACACCAGGGTCTGAACACTGGGAGTTGCTCCAATGGAGCTGCTCTGAGAAGATGTGCAGTAGGAGAGCAGCAACTGGCTCATTTTCACAGAGCTTACCACCAGAAGGAGCCCAAAACTTCATGCTCAGATCAGAGAATCTCACTTGACAGCTTCAAGCTCCAATTTCACTTCCAGCTCCCACCACCACCACCACCCACAACAGCCCAAGGTAAGTTGTTCCAGCATTCAGGCATCTTGGTTTAAGCTTGTGTGTTTTTCCAGGCTAGCCTCACTTCCCAGCTTCTCTTTTTCCTTTTTTTTGGATGACTCTGGTCACTTTTCAATCGAAATATTTGCTTCTGTAAATATTTGAAATCTATGGTTTTGAGGAAAGGTTTGTTTACCAAACTTTTCATTAACCTTGGCTTATTTTTTTTGAAGCATTTAAAGGTCACTTTACATACTCCCCAGAAGAATTTCCTACACTGAAACTGGAAACAAAGTATTCCACATCCTCAACCAGCATTCTGGGGTTTGTTTTCCCCCCACCCCCCTTAATAAAACCATGACCCTGTCTCATTCTGAGTCACAGCCCGACAGTGGGAACCTGCAGTTAACTGTTTCACTGCCAAATCCCACTCACTGCTACAATGCTCTGGGCTCCTCAGGCAGCATGACCTAAACTCACCTTTTCTAGGAAACATTTGTATGTATTCAGTAACAACACCAAACTGTGACCTGCTACCCACTTTTTCCACACTTCAAGATACTTCACCAGTTTGGGAAGGGACCTTTCAAGGTCACCCAGTCCAGCCCCCCTGTACTGAGCAGGGACATCTGCAGCTAGAGCAGGGTGCTCAGAGCTTGGTCCAACCTCACCTGGGATGGTGCCAGGGATGGGGCAGCGACCACCTCTCTGGGCAGCCTGGGACAGGGACTCACCACCCTCAGCAGAATTCCCTCCCTGACCTGCTGCCCACACTGCAGGGGATACAGCTCAGGACTTTCCCGTGAAAAACTCCTTCACAGAGTCTAAAAATTTGCCAATTTTGCCTTTTTTTTTCCCCCTTTTATCCCACTTCTGCCACCCTGCAGAAACCTTTTATAATGAGAGAATATTTGAAGGCTAAGGGTGTGTTTCTCAGCCTGGACAGCGTTCTGATTTTGAAAATCTGCTTTTCTAAGAGCACAAACAGATTTGCCCCCTGCAAGAGACGAAGGAATCCGGATCCCCAGTTCCAGCCGAGGCAGGGGGTGGGCAGAGTGTCGGATTCCCGGTTACCTCCCGGTACTCCCCGTTGCGGAATATCCTGTATCCCTCGGGCGGGTGGATCTGCACCGTGGTCTCGTTGATCACCTCGATGCAGCATTCCTGGTCCGGGCGGCTGAGCGGCCGCACCCTGCAGTACACCTGAGGGGGGGACACACACACACAGGGGGCCCGTCACCCCTCAGAGCAGCGCGGGCCGAGCCCCCTTCTTCACCGAGGAGTCTTCCCGGCCCCATACTCACCCCGACGGGGTCCTTCAGGGTGGGGTTCGACGGCTTCTTCAGCGCCGGCCTGCGC